TTCCCCAAAGGGCACAAATTTGTTGGGGCGAGGGCAAAGAAAATTTATATGCTGACTTGTGGCTCTACAACAATCAGTTCTACCCAGTAATTTTTATTGTTTAATATTTAATTGCTTTTGGTTAGTTTTCTTGTATACTATAACAGCAGCATTGAGTTCATGGAATATACACAAACTATTTGCAAGAGGCATATTAGGAACTGGCAAAAATAAATAGTTGTTTTGGAGATCTGTATTCAACCTTGAAGTCTTACTGGGGGAAAGACGTGGTCTGTGTATGCCAACTGGCTTCCTCTACTTTTAAAAAACCGTTATTCATTCATCATTTTCTTATACATCATTGTTCACTTTGTGCATTTTTCCATCTTGATTGTAATCCCCATGGACTTCCCACCACCAGTTCACCTGTGTGCCATCACCATAGTTCTGTGTACCTTTCCCACCCCATTTCTGGTCCCATTTCCCACTTCACCCCCAATTTCCACTACTTTTTGTGGATGTTATTTGTCAGTGCTTATCTGTGTGGCATAGTCTTATAGAATTAAGTAAGACTACTTTATATTTTGTTATTTAGTTCTATCAAGATTATTTACTTTCATTATCATTAATATCAAGTGCAAGATTATTTACCCTCATCCCTTAATGTCAAAGAAGAAAATGTTGACAACCTCTGAATAAATACCTAGTTGCTATAATAGTTAAGAGTTAAGTTTTTCATGTCAACCAAATTAAAAGTAACCACATCAAAGACAAATTGAAAAATTAAGTTTTTCAAGTGTTCTAATTTTGGTGGAGAAATATTTTTTAAAGGTCAATTATATTGCTTTTATGTATTAACAGATATATATTTGCATATATAATTGTAAATATATTGTAATGTACATAATTACTCTGTGAAGTTGTAAATTTAAGTTAAATGATAGCATAATCTATTAATAATATATACTTACGATTAGTGTTATTTTGACCAATAATTGAATCTTACATATTTGTTATTAGCACTATTAGTGAAGTGTAAGCAGTACATTTCCCATTCAGTAGTTGATGGCACGGTGGCAAGTATGTAGAAATTTTTCTAAAGAATGTTGGAGTTTTCTGTTCTACCTGCTGCTGTATAGAAATGATCATAGAGTAGGTTGAAGGTATTTGCTGGACCAAAAAAGTATTGGTTTTATTGAACTATGTCATGTCTGTATTTGTAGTAGGGAAACATTATGTTTTATTTACTTTTATTTTACTTAATCTGAAGTAAAAGCACTTGGGAGTCTTTCTAAGAGAATATTTTGTGGGGCTTCCCAGGTGGATACACTGCTGTCAATTCAGAAGTTCCTATCTGTACTCCAACTGGTACTGCAACAAAAGCAGGTTGTAATAAAAGTCAAACATGGAAGTAATTTTTAAAAGAAATATTAAAAACTAATGTGCAAATAGTTTTAAAATGGGTGAGGAAAAGATTGCCCTATGAAGAATAACCATTAAAATATATACAGAGAGATTAGTAAATGCTCAGTTTTCTTAGCTAATGCTGGAAAGCAGCATTAAAATATTTCGAGTAATTACTGAATAGACCTCTACCAAAGTACACTATTTACATTTCCTTGGTACTGGGAATTAGGTTTAGAAAATGACAAGCATCAGCTATAATACAACAATAGGGACATTTAAGAATTATTTACATAATCAAATATTTCATTCTCTTCATAAGGAAACAGTAGTCTACGGTTCTAGATTTTCTTGTGATAGAAATAATAAACATCTGCCATTAAATGTATGCCTTCTCATCTAAACCTGGCTTGGATAAAGTTGTTAATCTGTGTCCTTATGTATTCCTTCTCTGGTTATCCCTGAATTGTATCTTAACTGGCAATAAACTAGTGAAGGCAATTTTGATGAAGGTGTTTAGAAAGAAGAAGCAATGGTAGGGAAAAAGGTAGAAGAGACAAACAGGGAGGATATCTTTTATCAACTCTCATTTTCTCCCTAAATGAAAAAATTTGCTCAGGGGAAATTAAGGTAATGCAGAAGATTTTTAAAATCCCAATTCCATAATCAGGAAGTGGTATATTTTATAACTTGAAGTCTGAACATTTTTATTCACTTCACCCATCTTGTCCTCCCTCCTAGTATCTGACCCACTCTTTGTTCACAAGGAGTTGCCAAAAGTGTGGGTCTCATGTATAGTTTATTTCTCCCAGTGGTAATCTTTTCCATATCAAGTCCAGAAAACTGACATTTGAGCAATCCAGAGTTTATTCAGAGTCTCTGTAATTTTACAAGCACCCATTCGTATGTATGGTTACATGTAATTTTATCATGTAGGTTTATTTACCCAGAAGAGTTGTTTCCCCACAAGCCTGCCTTTATATCCATGTTCCCTTAATTCTCTCCATTCCTGACACTTAGCAATTACTAATTTGTTTTCCTTTGCTATATAGTTTTGTTTCAAGACTATTGGTTAAAGGAGTTAGTGTCTTTACAAAATTTTTTCATCCATTAACTATATGTCCCTTGAGGTCCATTCAAATTATTGTATCAATAGTTTTCTTGTTATTGCTGTGTAATCTTCCATTACATGAATACCAATGTTTAACCATTCTTTTTTGTAGAATGTCTGGGATGTTTACAATTTCTAGCTATTATAAATGAAAATGTTGGGTATAGGTTTTTATTTGACTTAACATTTTCATTTCCCAGGGAAAAGTGTAAAATTCCTCAGTTGCATCATAGTATGTTTAGTTTTATAAGAAATTGACAAAATATCTTGCATATATTTTGGAAAATATGTGGAATATATGGTGATTTTATTAGTTCATATCACACTAGCAAAGTATGATCACATTTTTCTTGCAGCTGTGCCATTATTTGGTGTATTTGGCTCTGTAAATTTTTTTTAAATGTTTATTTATGCATATAGAACTGAGGTACAGGCCAGAAGTACAGAGGTGGTGAGAAGACACCACCAGAAACAGTGGGGAGCAGAACAGGCTGAGGGGAGCAGTGAGTTAGACAGGAGAGGTCTGCTGTGCCTTATGGGTCACCTTCCTGAACTTGTGCTGAGGTGGCTGTGGCTAGCTTCATAGTGCTGTGCTTCAACCTACTGGGCCAGCAGGGAGGGCCCCTGGTTCTGTAACTTTTAAACTTTAGCCTTTTTGGTAGGTGTGGTGCTTTTATTATCATTTTAACTTGAATTTCCATAAGGGCTAATGATGGTGAACATCTTTCATGTTTGTCACCCACATATCTTCAGTTGTTAGCAAATCAAAAGATATTTCAGAATTATTTATTGAAGTACATGTTGGAACATTATATTTTCTTCCCATCTGTAGCTTATTTTTTTCCCCATTCTCTTTAAGTAGGGTTTGTTATAGAAATTATTTTTGCTTTTGATAAAGTCTACTCTTTCCAGTTCTTCCTTTCTTGATTTCCAGTTTTTCCTTTCCTGAGTCATGCATTTGGGATAGAGTTCAAAATCTTTCCCTGCCGCTAGGGCCTGAAGATTTGTGTGAAGTTTGTTGTTTTTATCATGTCTATCCCAATTAATCCAGCACATTTGTTTAAAAGACTTTTCCTATTGAATTGCTTTGTTGTCTTTACAGTCAGCTGGAGTTTGTGTTGTTGGTCTGTTTCTAGAATTTCTGATTCATTTCTCATCCCACCACCAATTCTACAGTCTTGATTACTGTAGTATGTATTAAGACTTAAACTTATTTAGCTTTATTCTTTTTCAGAATTGCCTTAGCTTTTTTCATTTTTAGAGGTCAGTTTTATTAGGGAATGGGGAAAAAAGAGGTATCTGCCTAGATATAGGTGGGCAGGAGAGCTATTACATTCTTAGTCTTTTTGTAGACATTTTAGAGTAAACTGTCTACAAAAAACATTGCTGGATTTTGATAAGAATTATGTTAAATTTATAGATTACTTGGCAAGAAGTGATCATCCCATCCATAAAAGTGGTAACTTTTCTTTCATTTGTTTGATGTTTTGGAAATTTGCAGCATACAGATCCTGTACATGCTTTGTCAGCTTTATTGTCACAGCACTTGAAAATGTTTTCAGTGAAAAAGAACTTAAAATATGTCCTTTGAGATCCTAGTCTTTTGTCTCACCTTGTTCCTAGGAATGATATAACTAATACTAATCCTTTCAGAATTGAAGTAGCAATTGAAAGGCTTATTGGTATATCCTCCCTCTTCATACTGGATTTAGAATCAGTGACATCTTACTGCCATTTAAAATATTCCAGGATTGGGGAGTAGTCTCTTTAGATATAAGGGAGTTCATTTCAGTGTTGGATAACTGATTTTCATTGTTAAATTGACTCAAGGTCATTGAAAAGCCTTTAATCCCGCCCCGCCTGTTTACTTCACATGTAGGTGTCTAGAATCCTCCTTAATGTGCCTTTTCACCCATAATTTTATCATGGTCTGGTTTCCTTATTCTGTGCCTTTTCCCCAGGCATACATTAAGTATAAAGCAGCTCTAGTTTCTAGTAACACAAGCCTTCTAGAAGCCCAGAAAAGTAAGTTATGGGGGTAAAGAAACAAAAGTGCCTTAAGTAATTCTACCAGTTTGTGGCTTGTCTACGTGCATGAAGAGTGACTTGTCTAGACAGTATGAAGGAAATGACCAATAATACACCAACCTCCACTAAGTACTGGTACTCTCATGTTATTTTAAGATCACCCAGTTAGCAAATGGTCCAAGGATAATTAATGGACATTGAAATCACAAATTGTGTTGGCTAAAATTTAAGATACTCAAGCCATATTCTAGAACTAAATAATCATGGGTAGAAAAGTAGGACAAGCTTCTTATGTGTTTATTTTCAGAACTGATGATCTTTTCTCCATTTTGATCATTGAAGTACAATGTGTGTTTAGGTAGCATGAATAAGTACACAACTCAAATGCTAGGCAGAATGGTAAGTGCAGAGAAGTTATGGGCTTTCCAATGGGAAAACAAACTTGGCTAAAGAAGGCAGGCTTTAAGGATGAGTAAGCTTCTGATTGTAATTTTTATTACACACTAAGCTCAGTATTCATTACTCATCCATTATGGCTGTCCACAGTATAAAGCAGTTTGAGCAACACTTTACATTATACTACAGATAAAAAACCATTACATGCTAAATCAATTTGTTTTAAGGTTTCAGATAATTTTCATTTGCGTAGTCATACAGTTATACAAATTATAGGTATTCAATTTTTGTCAATTTTACGACAATGACAATGCTTAAGGATAAATAACAAAATTAACAGGTAAATTTGTAATTTATTTCAGTGTTTTTTAACAACTTATTACCCACCATATCTTGACATTCACATGAATAACATCAATGATACAAATGCAAAGCAAAGTGAAACTGGAGGTCTTAAATTACAGCACTGTAAGTTTATGTTACTAAAAATCAGGCCAAATGAGCTATTAAATGACTTTGCTGAGTTTTATCATAATTTTAAGTTTGAATACTGACATTTGTAAAGAAACAAGACAGATAAACATGCCTTTAGAAATATCACAGATTAAAGAAAAACTAACATTTTACTATTTTTGGTTAATACAGGTAACACCTGCTTTTAAAATAATCTTACTTTGTGTTTATAAAAATAAAATTGTCCTTAGTACTTCTAAATTCTTTTTTCCAAATAAGGTCATTGTTACTACATCATAGGTTTAAAATCAGTGGCACAAATCATGCATGTAAATATAACAAATTCAGTGTTAGGAATTAGAGTACAGTACAAATAACCAACCATACATAAGAGGTAGAATTCTTAATCACAGTTTTATAGAAAAGGTGCAGCAGTTTGTATCTGTACTCTTATTACTTATAGTACTATGAGTTTGCTTCCCTTTAACACAAGGGGGAAAAGGGAGTAGGAGGAATAAGCAGTGATCTTACTGACCTTTGTTTTGTATGTTCTACAGGGGTTATTCCTAGACACGGAAATCATTTCTTTGGCCAGTTGAGGTACTTGATTATGAACAGCATTTATTTCATTTTTAAAATTTTCAGAGTAGTCTTGATTATACTGTTATTCTCCCATAGGCAGAAGGAGAAATCTCTTTTTCTCCCTTTTCCCCCCCTTTTTGAGTATAAATACAGGTGAAAACAAACCCTGAATTAGTACTTAGTTAATACAAATAATAACTAACCTACAGAGAGCTTCTATAATCAAATGTTTTGAGTTAATTGTTTATAACTCATCAGTTATAAATGGGTATACTAGTTAAGTGTTTATAGCTTGGAATTCAGTGGTTGATTTCAGTCTTTAATTGAACGCCAGTAAATAAAGTGATAAAGGTCATTTTAAGAAAGTCACAAAATTGTAATAGTTGGTGCTTCACCTTATATTAGGTCTTATAATATAAAAGATAATTCAAAACAAAACAATTGTAAAAAGTAAAAACAACAACTTTAACTGGAAGTTACCTCATGGTGTATATTAGGATTGAGTTATGATGAGCCAAACAGATTACACACACGTATGTATAGTTTAAGTGAACTTCCTTTTAATCAGATTATTTCCAAGCTGACCTAAATTCTTTATTTTTATAACAGAAAAGGCTATATTTATGTTAGGCCTAGATCTATTAGCAATATTTCCTTCACAATTCCTGGTAATAATGTATTATCCTAAATCAGAAATCATGTTAAAATCTTCCTGTATATTTAACACATTACACTTCAATTGAGAATTAGAATGCTGTCACTAGAGATTGAGCAATCTCTACCCGTTTTCCTAATTTTAATAAGTATGACTTTGCATTATTAAGAATTATCAAAATATCATCATTTGGGAATGTTGGCTAAACGTATATAAAACTAATACTTTTTGCTAGTATTTTAAGTTGAAACATTTGATTATAAAAATCTCACTACTTTTCATAGCTAAACTCCTAATGTTAGAGGTGCATGTGAAAAAAAGAAAAGTACAGTCTTTGCCAAAGATATATATAAAATCCATAGTTAGGTAATTCTGTTAATTTCTAATTCAGTATATTGAAAACTTGTACAATTAATCTGTAAATACCACTATAAAGAAACTTCTAGGAAAGAGAATCTTTTTGAACATAGTTTGTGTTGCATTTAGGCCCATGATTCTTGTAGATTATTTTTGAATCTAGGAAAGTGTGGTTATTAGTAAGGCTACATTCAGTGTGTGTATACTTTGCAAAATATTTGTTACACATTTAAATACAACTGGAAAGAGTATTTGCGCAGACAAAAGTGAAGGTTTTTCTTTCACATTAAAATTAACAATGGTTTTACACAATAATGCCTGAAAACATTTGGAAAAGATTATTGATGATCTTGACTGTAACAGCTTATTGCATTTTTCTGTCTCTCAACTTCAGTACTCTAGTTTGGAGAGTTAAGTTCTACTTTTCCTCTTATCTTCAAATAGACTTTTCAGCATATATACTTGAATAGCTGAAACTAACACCATGACCACTAAATTAACCATAGACCAAAAGTTTACTCTATCAAAGTTGCTTTCTTGTATGTTCCGATCACGAGCTTCAAATGCTCTAAGCAAAGTTTGGATATGACCACTTTTGCTTAGTCTGGACTTGATACTGCTGATGGAATCCTGGAAGTAGATAAAATAATTTTACTGTAAAAGGAATGTTTAGAAATTTAAAGATGTGCTTCACAGTACACTGATATTCATACTATTTTTATATCCAAATGCAATTTTCATGAGGAAAAGTACCACTATTTGGATTACCTAAATATTTTCTCAACTACATAGTAGTTCTGATACATTTAATTTTGTAAGTAATTCTTCAACAAAGGAGCAAAGCTTCATAATTTGAGAATATATTTGAGTGGTATAGTTTTAGGAATTTTACATATTTCTTGTTCTTTGTTTCTTCTCTGAATTTGTCTGGCATAATTTAGTATCTAGCAAAACAGCCAGTACTTTTAATCCCAAAATAGTGAAATTACAAAGTACTTCAATTTTAAATAGCCATACTATTTTTTAATACAAAACTGTTCCAAGATCACATGTTTCCCCATCAAGATGCATTCTAAGTTTCTTATCTCCTGAAAAAACTACAGTAATGTTATGGTGACAAGTGACTTGTAAACTATGAAAGGGTCATGGAATGTGAAGTTGAGATTTAAATGTCATAGTACTTACACTAAAATAAAACATTAGAAACATTTCCCTATTGAAAATCCTCATTTTAGCAATAAACATACCCAAAATTTCACAATGTTCTGATAAGCTTATAAAACAATAGTTGTTTATCATATGGGTATATTTGTAAAGCAATGATAACTATGTAATGCAAATATTTTCAACAAAAATGTGGGATTCATATTCCCATCTAAAAACTAAAGACCACAGTTCCTTTCAAATACTATAAGAACTATACCTAATAAAAATTATTCAGATTTGCTGTTGTGATACAAATTTGGAGAGGTATTTTTAGCTGTATTTAAATGGTCATTTTAATATGTGAATGAATGATATCTTGAGAATGCAGTGAAGTACTAACAAGATTTTTTTTAACCTACTTTGAATATTTTTATTTTTTAATATAATAGTTTGTTGAAGTACTAACAAGATTTATAACTGCTGGTATGATTTAAATTTCTTAAGCTAATTTATGTCTTCTATAATTTGATAGTTGCTTTCCTTAGTAAGCCTCATAATCACAATATCACAATATTACCAAAAAGTCCAACTTACAAGAATTCTAGAAGCTATAGTTTTAAATGTGCTTAAAATAACCATGTTACTTCTCCTGCAGTAATAATTTAATATAAATTATTTACAAATATCACTGAGTAAATTTTGTCATCTGATTACATCTAATTATGGCTGAATAGAATCACCTTCACCCGCATTCTGGCAATACCATATACTGTTAGCAAAGAGATTCAGATGACATATATTTGTTAATAATGTTCAGGATAAACAATTCAGGCCAATTTAAGCAGCAAAGCTATATTTGAAAAGATTGTATTCTGACTTTAGTGCAAGTTTCTGATAACAAGAAGTCTGGTCTAGGTAATGTAACCAATACTTCCAAATTAAGAACTATCAAATTTTTTAAGTATGCTATGGGAAAAATGTATGTCATAGGATTCACTCAGTTTTTTACCCTATATTCAAGAACACTATAGTTCAAATACTTCTTAAACATTCTAAGGGAATTCTAGAATTAAGAGTCTGTCTGTCTTCCAATTTTAGTTCTCTCTCAGAGAGAACTTACCTCCCTAAATAAAATTTTTCATCTTTCAGGTGAAGATTATAATCCTGAAAGAGTTATAGAAGAGTCAGATAAGATAATGCACATAAAATGCTTATGCTTATAGCCTATGATAGAATAAGGTTTCCTGATGTTAGGTTTTATTAAAAAACCATACTGACCAGGATGTCTTCCAGCTTCATCTCCAACATATCTGTGCCAGTAATATATTTCTTCCAGTCCTCTTGATCTTGTCCCTGTTCTCCCATATTATCCAGAATTAATTCAAAGAAGATCACCTTCTCAGAAATGGTGCTGAATGTATTATCAAAACAGAACATGTAGTCACCAACTTCAGTCTCTACCCTGTATTTAAAAAAGTACAAGTCTTTAATTTTCTATACTTTTATTTGGTATAAAATGAAAAGAAACAACATGATTTATGATAACTGAATAGTTTAGTGATAGACTCCCTTAGTATTTATAGAAAAATAATTTATAATTTCTTGAGAAGACCACAACCTGGAAACATTAGGTGTAATTGGTATTTACTCAGCAATTACGGTAAATCTCATTTTTGTAAAAGGATACAATTAAAAACTATGACTTCACAGTAAACATGAATACTTACACATTATTAGAATATAAATTATTTCATATGCAACTGTGACTACAAATCTACCTTCAATTGAAACTAACCGGTAAAGTGAATTATTTTTAAAAGCTGTGATGGATTTTCCTAAATACTTCTTCCAGGGCTCCTATCAATTAACTACTAATAACATGTACAATGTAGGTTACAGTGAGGCCAGTGGCCAACAACCAGAGCTTTACGCTTTGTGGCATTTCTTTTACTAAATAAATTCTACTTGCACCTAAAGTGAACTTACAATCTCATTTAGCTTTTCATTCAGTGTATTGGATTTGGGCAGAGTTAATTTAGCAAGTGATTTTCTAATAATGTTTTTTGTGGAAATTTTAGTTTTTATCGACTATCCATGGGAGGTTGGTCTGAGTGATTTTAAAATTTTCTTACTTGCAGTATATTGAATAACTTAAAGTTTAAAGAAGGTTTTAATGTTTTTTATAACAACATATTTGATACATGTTGTTCTAATCTTTATAACCAAACTACATCTTTCCTTCTGTATTTCTGGTTTATTTTTGCTTAAGAGAGAAATCCAATCAGACTGCTGAGTAGTTAACATACATTAAATCTAGCCAATACCTGTATAACTTCATCACTTACAGTTTTCTCATATTTTCTCTTTTAATCCTTACACCTCATATTTGGAAAGAGACATAACTGACCTTCTCAAGGTAAGTAAAATTAAATTTTCTATACATAAAGATACTTGCCCATTACTGTATAGTCTAATATAGGGATAGACAAAGCTTGGTTTTCTGATTGTTAATTGATCTTTCTACAATATTGTGCAGCTTGGATGAATTGTTTGCAACCTTCTCAACATGACAAGCCTTTGTCTTTTGAGATTTTATTTGGTCTTCAGAAGGACCCTGAAGCAAAACTGCTGAATATAATGGAGAAAAATTTTTAAAGAAAAAAAACTGTCATTTTTATTATGCAATATGACCTAGATATGGGGCATTTCCTAAGAAAAAATTTCCACTATATTCTCCTTAATGGTATCATATGACTATGTTGAAGGACGGCATTCAGTTGGACTATATTCTCAGTTGGGGTAAGAGGAAGAAAATGCCCATAAAGGGTTGAAAATTATTCAAGAAGCACAACAAAATTTTGATTACAACAGTTTGTGGACCTCCAAAGATCCCACCTGACAAAAATCTTATGATTTAGTATTTAATTTCAGTCTGGGCTTTCTTGGGTTAGATCACACTATGAATGATATGTACTTTGGAAGAGCCACAAAATGTATGTGCTACAGAATGGTGCTACAAAATTAAAGCAAACTGCCCAGCTTTGGTGGGAAGACTTTGTATTGATCAACTGCTTGATCTAAAAGTAATATAACAAGAAGTGGCCTGCTCATGCCTACCAATGCTTCCCAGGCTCTCCTGGTAGATGCTTATGTTTCATCCTCAAATGCTTTTTGGAGTTTTAAATAAAACTATTATTTAATTCTATAAAGGTTATTCAACATCATTAGTTATGCCAAATGCTGGGGCTGGGAGAAAAGGCCAACAATATCTACAAGACATAGCTAAAGTTATTTTCCCATTTCAAACAAAAAAAGATTTAACTAAAAGTACTCTTAAGAAAAATTTTTTTTCCCATCCTGTTAAGTTTTCTCAGGAAAAAAAATTTTTTTTTTAAAGATTTATTTATTTATGCATACAGAACCAGGGTACGGACCATAGGTGCAGGGGCCATGGGAGGATTCACCAGAGACACAGTGGGGAGTAGAACAGGCAGAATGACAAAGTACACTATTGAGGGGAGCAGCAGGCAAGACAGGAGAGGTCTGCTGCCCCATGTGGATCACTTCTGGGATATAGTGCCTGGCCGGGCCAGGGATCGAACTCACATTGGAGCAGCTGTGGCTAGCATCCTAACCCATTGTGCAACAAGGGAGGGCCCACTCAGGAAAATGTTTTAAAACTTAACTACTAGTGTTATGTAGTTTAATATAGTGCTAATATGAAGGTGATCAACACTATAATAAGTAAATAAAATATAAAGTTAAAATTAGTTTTATTTAACTTTAAATAAAAGTTATGGTAGGGGGCCCTCCCTGGTGGTGCAACGAGTTAAAGCACCATACTATAAAGTTCTCTGAAGCCACTACAGCATGAGTTCAATAACTGGCCAAGGAGCTGACCCACATGGCATGGCAGACACCCCCTGATCCACCTGCTCCTCCCGTCAGCAATATATTTCAGTAGATATGCCTGTTCTGTTCCCCACTCTGTCTCTGGAGAATCATCTCACCCCCCCCCCCCCACCACACACCCCTCTGGACTGTACCCTAGCTCTGTAGGCATAAATAAATAAATCTTTTTAAAAAAGTTATGGTAGTACCTGATTTATTTGTCTAGAAAAATGTACATATGACTCATTCCAGGCAGTGTTTAGGTATTATAATGTTCTAGGTTCCATTTTTACTAACCCTGATTTCTGGAGGGACAGATAAAATTTTTGTTTAAATCTAACTTTGAGAAAGTGAGTCTATAAATTTGGCATAGTAATTAGGAACAAACTTAACTGCCTGGCTTTAAATCTTGACTTTGCTGTTTATTACCTGAACATCCTTTAGCAACTTAACTGTCTTATGGCTCCCTTCCTCCCATGAAAAATTTTAATATGTATTTCATAAGATTGTGGTGAAGAATTAAAAAAACTAATGCATGTAAAGTGCTTAGAACAGTGGCCTGGCACATCAAAAGAACTCAAATAAATGTCAACTTTCATAAACTAAATTTTCTCCCAATGTTTAATGGGAGAAAGAAATAAGATACCGTAACAGTTATTTTTAGCTTATTTCTAAATGAAAGCAGAAAATCGGAGAGAAGTAAAAACTGGGAAAACCTACACATTTTCTAGAATGTAAAATTTAAAGATGAACTGAAAAAATATGGTTCTTACTTATATACCTATTAAAAAGAAAATATAGCTAACTCCTAGTATATTAATCTAACTGACTTAAAATACCTATTTCTCCTATTAATAGGAGAAAAGAACACTGAAAGGGATTATCTTAAAAATTACTGTTGAGATACTTCCCCCACACCCCCATTCATACATATATTTAATTATATACTGAGTATCAACTATAGGTACTTTGGTTAACAAAGTCCAATAATTACAATAACAGCTAGTACTTACATAGTGCTATGTGCCAGGGATGTTCTAAGCAGCATATGGTAGAAAGCAAGAATTTTGGTCCATACTGCCTCCTCCTCATAATAAAAATGTGTATCCCTGCAGACTTATTTAACTTCTCTGAGTCTCCTTTTCTGTAAAGATTCCTTGTCTGTAAAATGGGAATTGGGGAATCAAAGAATCTATCTTATAGTGGGCTAGAATAATTGCTTTAGAAACAAAGCCTAGTTTATGGTAAGTATGTGACACTGCTTTTGCTCTTCTTCATATAAATTCAGTTTTAACACAATAATGGCACCAAGTAAAGAAAGTATTACAGTAAAATAATTGAATGAATGGGGAAACACCGGTGAGATATGGAATGGGGATATGAGGTATAAAAAATATAGGGCCTTTGTCAAACTCTAGCCTCAAGAGTTGTAACAAGTGTTTCTTTTCTATATGCTTTCCTAACTTTGGATCTTTTACTTTCAGGTCTTCTAATTATCTAAGAGTAAGAAAACAATGGACAAAGATGATATCGTCACCAGGTCAAGTAAGAAGAATAGAAACTTATGAGTTAAAATGGAAAGCTTGTGCTAGGCTAGAAAGGCAAGTTTAAAATGCCCTAATGGTATGAATGCAATGGCCAGAGAACATTCTTTAATGCAAAGAAAAGTTTTCTTTAGGATCAAAAACAAAA